ACTGGTTGAATGCAGTTTCTGGTCAATGGTAACCCTCCAGAATTTTGATAGTGGGGGATTCAGGGATGGTATTGGAATTGAATGTCTAGGGACGATGGTTAGATTGTAAGTTATTGGAGATGGTCATTGGCTGGTATTTGTGTGGTGTGAATGTTATTGAGCACCTATCAACCCAAGCCTGCATTTGAACATGGACTGCTTCAGCATCAGAAGAGTCGCAAATCGTGATGAACATTGTGCGAACATCCCCACTTCTGATCTTATGATGAAGGGCAGGTCATTAATGAAGCAGCTGAAGATCATTGGGCTGGACATTCCCCTAAGGAACTCATGCAGGAATATCCTGGAGCTGAGATGACTGACTTTCAATAACCACAACCATCTTTCTTTGTGACAGGTATGATTCCAGCCAGCAGAGAGTTTGCTCCTTGATTCCCAATTATTGCAGTTTTGATGTCATAGTTGGTCAAATGCAACTTAGATGTCAAGGGCTGTCACTCTCACCTCACCTCTGGAATTCAGCTCTTTTGTCCATGCTTGAACAAAGGCTGTAATGAGGTCAGGAGCTGAGTGGCTTCGGTAGAACCCAAACTGGGCATCGGTGAGTGGATTATTGCTGAGCAGGTGCTGCTTGATAGCACTGTTGATGACACCTTCCATTACTTTACTGATGATCAAGAGTAGACTGATTGCACTGTACTTGGCTGGGTGGGATTTGTTCTGCTTTTTGTATACAGGATATACCCGAACAATTTTCCATGTCGTCGGATAGATGCCAATATTACAACTGTACTGGAACAGATTGGCTAGGGGAGCAGCAAGTTCTGGAGCACAAGTCTTCAGCACTATTGTTGGAAAATTGTCAGGGCCCCCAGATTTTGTTGTACATAGTCCATCCAGCCATTTCTTGACATCACATGGAGTGAGTTGAATTAGCTGAAGACTAGTGTCTGTGATGCTGAGGACCACAGGAGGAGGCTGAGATGGATCATTCACTTGGCATCTGTGGCTAAACACTATTGCAAATGCTTCAGGCTTAACTATTGCATTGATGTGTTGAGTTTTCCCAATAATGATGTTGGGGTAATGTATTGAGTCCCTTCCTCCAGTGACTTCTTTAATTGTCCACCACAGGTCATGACTGGATGTGGCAGGACTGCAGAGCTTAGATTTAATCCATTGGTTTATGGAATCACTGAGCTCTCTCTATCACTTGCTGCATCTGCTGTTTGGCATACAATTAATCCTGTTTGGTAGCTTAACCAGGTTGACACCTCATTTTTAAGATGGATGCTGCTCCTGCATGCCTCCTCATGCTCCAATGAATCAGGGCTTATCCTCTGCCTTTATGGTCATGTTTGAGTGGGGAATATGCTGGGCTATTTAGTTACAGATTTTTTGGAGTATGATTCTGCTGGTTCTGATGGCACACGGCATCTCTTGGATACCCAGTCTTTAGTTACTAGATTTGTTTGAAGCCTGTCCCATTTGGCACCATGATAGTGCCATACAACACAAAGTGAGGTGTTCTCAATGTGAAGACAAGATTTTGTCTCCATGAGCTCCACGAAGTTGTCACTCTTGCTGATAGTATCATGAATGTCACCACCTACCACAAACCCAGTTTTTACCCATTCATTCGTGGGATGTGGATATCATCAACTTGGCCAGTATTTATTGATCTGTATGCCTTTGAAAAGTTGGTCGTGAGCTGCCTTCTCGAACCCCTGCAGTCCTTGAGTTCCAGGATTTTTACCCAGTTAACACCAAATAATCATTTCTGTTGCTGACATGATGTTCTGAAGGTGGGATAAGGTGAAGTTGTGACACAAATAAATAGTAAAAACAAATCTGAACATATACATGCAGGAAGCTGACAATGACTTGGTCGAAATGCCAAAAAAAGGCAGAGATGAGGAAATCAATTTAATTTAGCTGGAGGTTGTGTTTCTTAATTATTTTGTTTATAAAATATTTCCTTCATAATACCAACGTCGTGATTGTAATGAGGTCAGCCAGGTGGAACTCATAGAACATGAGTGCCCTGATTGGGGCTGTTAACCTAGTCCAGTTAGGGAGCCCTGGCTGACAGATATAAACAGGAGTGTCAGAGGTTCTGTTGAATATGAGAGCTGGCTCTAATGAAGCCAGACCAACATCAAGTATTATGCACATGTAAGTAAAGGGTGATATGGTGATGGATACTGGCCTCTGTGGAGTTATTTCAACAGACTCTTAAGTGTTACTACCACATGAGCAACATATAAGTTTCCTTTCTCCCTTTATAATTTCCAAGCCAAAAGTTGCTGGAGAGATGGCAAAGCAGAATTATGGTTTCAGATGTGCACTAAAAAGGCAAATTGGGAATGGTGATGGATGAGGGAGTGCATTGAACTGACAAGAAGACAAATGTTATTGATTAGTGATATGCTCACTGGTTAAAGAATATACTGATGCTAACTGGCCCAAAGCACATTTTTTGTACAAATTACAGTGTTTTAAACTAATTATTTAAATCAAAATAAATGAAGTAGGCAAATTGTTTCCAATATTCAAGAAACTGCTGCCTAAAACAAATGTTTCACTCTTTATATTTGTAAACGTGAGACCTAACACCTGTTTTAGGTGCCATCATGGGCAATGATAAACAATTCCGATGTTGAGTCTTGGTGAGGAATGATCAATGACTGAAAATTAAAATGTCTACTTTTATTGAAAAAGAAACACCCTGTGAAGTCAGAGATCTTGCTGCCCCCCACCCCCCCAATAATTCCCCATCCAAAACACCATTTTGCTGTAGACCCTAGAGTCCAGGGACTCACTTTGCGTTCATTGCTACAGAGGCAAGTAGTCAACATTCTATGATGCAAATACATTAGCTTCCTTGTTACTGTTTGTGGAAATTTGCTGCATGAAAATTGACTGCTGCATTTGCTACATTACAACGGCAATTGCAGCTTGAAAGTATTCAATTGGTGTTTTTATTAAAAGTACTTAATAAAGTGCTTTGGGACTTCCTGAGATCTTGAAGGTGTTATATAAATATGTTTGTCTTTCTAGCAGCTTTTTTGTGAAAAAAGAGTGAATTCCAACTTGTACATCAATCATTATTCATCACTAATTTAAGATAGTGAAATAATGACCACATAGGGACCATTTACCATGTTCTTTTTGATCCTAACTTACAATTTAAATCATTGATTGTTTGGGCCATATATTCTAACTGTGTCCAATTAAGCTCAAATCAGGCATGAGGAATTGCATTGTACTATCTTCTATTGAACACTTTGGAGGGCACTGGTCATAGTATTAACTTCAGTCATTTCAGGTCTTCGATATAGTTTCTACAATTTCTTCAGAAGGAAAAGATATGAATGGCGAGATAGCTTTGAGTGATATTGATTGATGTTGACGTATAGTCCAGGGCATCAGGAGAAGTTTCTTTGTTTCAAATAATGACATAAGATGTTTATGTCTGCCTGACAGGGAGGCTGTAGCCTCAGTTCAGTGTTTCACTTAAAAGGTGGTGTAAGATAAAATGCTTCAGGAAGGGTGGAGAAAAGATTAATACTTATGGTGGGATCTATTTGAAGGAATACGTAGTCAGCAACCTAAATATTGAACCACTTTTTACTTTCCTGAAACTCTTAGGCTGTCAGTTTTGTTTTCGTCATTTTTCATGTTTCCATTTTGTAAAATTTTCCCTATCCCATTGCTACCAGTGCCACCGTCATTCCTTCAGTTATTCACTATTCTCTGTAAATGTAACTTTTCACATTACAGCACCTATCGTTCCATATTAATATTTCATAAGCCATTTAACTGTCTCGTGTATGAACATCAGACCTTATCTAAAGCACCACTGTTACTTAGACAAGGTTTGATGTGGGTTTGATACTTGAAGGTTATAGGTGAATGGCTAACTTCTTGCCATGAGTCAGAAGCTTGTGAATTCAAATCTCATTCCAGAGACTTGAAATACAATCTGTTCTAGACTGCACTCTGGTATAATACAGAGAGGGAGCTACTAGGCAGTGTTGTCTTTCACATGAGGCATTAAACTGAGCCTGTCTGCCCTCTCAGATGGACCTATAATATTATTCACGAAAAGCAAGGGATATTCTCTGGGTGATCTGACAAAGATATTTAATGGATATGAGCTAGTTTTTGGTGGGGAAGGTAATGTTACTAAACTGGTAATCCGTGGGCTGCAGGCTAATACTCTGGGGACATGGGTTCAAATTCCATCATTACAGATAGTGGAATTGAATCCCTTCATAAATCTGTAATTGGAAGTAAATCACCGTCATGGTGACTATGGAAACTATCATTGGCTGTTGTAAAAACCCATATGGTTCACAAAAATTCTTTAGAACGGGAAATCTGCCGTCTTTACTAGGTCTGGCCAAACTCACAATCATATGGTTGATTCTGAACTGGTCCCTGAAATGGTGGAGCCGAGAATTAGGGAGAGGCAGTAAATCCCATTTTAAAAAAAACATTTCATTACTGTTTTTTCTTGTCCTGAAGCTTTCCCCTCCACCCCTATTTTCCGCATAAACAGCGTTAGGTATCTACACTAACACAGGCGTATATTTTTCCATCTTCCCTGTTCTTTTTTTTTGATAGGTGATGTTCGTTCCCCTGTAATATTTTGCCGTTCTGTTTCAGGTTCCGCACATTAAATGTCAGTTGTAGAGTTGTCAATTCCAGGACATTTCCAGATTTCGCCGCAACCGCCCTTTCTTCTTCAATGTCCGAGATGCAAAATAGTTTAGGGAGAAATAAAAATCCATTTTGTATTATCCCGAGGATGCCTCCTGTCAACTATTACTACAGTGTCCAAGACTCTCTACGTAACCTTGGAGAGTTAGTGACACTTGCTAGTTTTACCCGAAGGTGCTGACTGGTTTGCTGTTTTGTATTTAACACGTGATATAAGTAACCACATACATCATTGAAACTCCGACCAGTAATGTTTCCTGTTGCTGCATCTGGAGTTTCGAACCTTGCGCGTCTTGCCTGGCAAGTGCAGCTTTCAGCGGGTCCAGATCGAAGATCACGAGGAGTGAAAAAAATCTTTTCGGTTATCCGCATTCTAACTGTCTTTATCTCCAATTTCACTCCGCAAACGTCAAAGGGTGTCTAACTTTATCGTCGATCGCAGGTGAGATGGAACAAGTGGTGGGCTTATTGGGAAATTGGGAATGCAATAGAGTTAATATTGTGGAAAAAATGGCTCCAAATTCCTGTAAAATGTACAACTAAGATTTAGATTTCCTTGGTTGAAAACAAAAAAAGGTCTATATTAATAACTGCATCAAAGTTTCGTTTTATAAATTAATCTAAATGGTTATTGTTATGCACCTGGATCTTGGAGCTCGTGTCATTCATCGATATTCTTCTCATATATCTGAACTATAATAAACAAGCTGGAGGGTTTATTGAGACGTAGGGCTTGCAACATTTAGTACTATTCTTTGAACAGATTCAAAAATAACACAGAGAATTACCAGGATTCTATGTGTCCGCGCCTGTTTTAATATCTTATCAAGTTGCTCAAGAATTTGTTAATGGTTGAGAAGGGGTAGGGGGACGAGTCGGAATTTCCGTCCCAATTGTATAATTTTTGTTTGAAGATGTCTGCTTTTGGGGGTCTCGAAAGCAGATGAAAGCATTTTGTGACCGCTGTAAAGCTTAGAAGACAAAACCAAGGTGTCAAATCATGATTAAAGTGAGGTTGGAAGCTTTACCCGCTTTCAGACGAGGTAACAGTACTCAACTGTTCCAGCATCTACAAATTGAAACTGGTTCCATGTGCAGGTGTAATGAGAATCATTTCACATTTTAAACCTTGCTTCTACCCATTGTTGGCACATTAGCTTTTAATTTATACAATTTAGATAATTTCAATTGAAGGAAGCCCTTTTATACTAAGTGGCCCAGAATTGGTTATGCCACTTCCCCTCTAACAATGTTGAAATTTGCGATTGCGAATGCTGAGTTTCTCGCGCTTTAACCTCAGCGCCCGTTACTGCTTACTTAGAGATTGACGCAAACTTCAAACCAAGTTAATTTTATTCACTAGATTCCATCCACATTTGGGCCACTGTACCCGTTTTTCATTTTTGTCTAACGCATCAGTAGCAATTATCGTTTACACGCCCTGCTTTTTAAAAGTCTTACATTCAATGCAGTGTGTCTTAAATTTTATGGCATACCAACTTATATTGACTATAGGTATATCTCAACATATATTGCATTTGTAAGATCAGTGCATATTTTTATTTTATTGTTTGATCATTTAATGTTTCTGCTTCAAGTGAAACTAACTTTAGGGCATATGACCTTTTAGGTCAACAGCAACTTACATGGCGTCTTTAACATAGCGAAATATTCTAAGATGTCCCACGGGAGCAATTATCAGGAAGAATTTGACTCAGAGTCACATAAGGAAATATTAGAATAGGTCACGAAAGCATGGTCAGTGCAATAGGTTGTAATGAATATGTTAAAAGTTACACAGAGGGAAAGAAGCAGACAGGTTTGGAAAGGGGACATCAGAGCTCAGGGTCCTGGAAAATGAAGTCACAGCTGTCAATTGAAGAGGAAGAATAACAGGGGTGGAGAAGAGACTAGGATTGGCAGCGCACAATGAGTTTTGCAGTTTAGAAAGCTGGAGAAGGTTACAGAGATATAGTGAGATTTGTTGCAACATGGCTAAGAATTGTTAAGTTGAAGTATTACTGTGCCAGGAGCCAGCGTGAATCACATAGCACAGGAGTCATGAGTGACCAGAACTCCGTGTATGTGAAAATGCAACAGCAAATCTTCAAAAGAGCATCGGGTTATAATGTCTGAGATTAGCAAGCAAAGATTTGGAATCATTAAGTTTGGAAGTACCACGGGCATTGGTGAGTATTTCAGCAGCTGGTGCATGAACTGAGGCACGGGAAAGTTTGGGCAGTGTTACAGAGATGCAAATGGCTGTCTTGATGAAACAGAGGATATGAATTTAACATATCAGTTCAGAGTCAAATAGGACTCCAAGGTTGCATAGAGTCTAGTTCAGTTGGAACCTTGTGCCACCTATCAGAGAAAGATAAATAGACTGGAAAGAGCAACTAGGATCTTATTCAAAATCAAGGAGACATCTTAAGAGAATAAACAGCAGAGCTGGGATCTCAAATTGGGTTACAAACTGAAATTTTGGGGGTCACAAGGTCGGAGGCAGCAATGGTGACCATGGAAAATAAAAACTGAAAGTACTGTGGATGCTATAAATCAGAAACAAAAAATAGAGATCGCTGGAAAAGCTCAGCAGTTTGGCAGCATCCGTGAAGAGAAATCAGAGTCCATATTTTGGATCCGATGATCCTTGCAAAGGTCTCCTCACACAGCTGTTGTCAGACTTGCTGAGCTTTTCCAGCAGTCTCTATTTTTGTTATATGGTGACCATGTAGCTCTGCAACAACCACAACCCCCACGCAACCCCCACGCACCCCCCACCCCTCACCCCATCCACAGTTTTCAGTCTTTTCTCCCCAAACTCTGCACTCATTAATCTTCGCCCAGTCACCTCTGCTTTCTTCGTTCTGACTATGGGGTCACAATAATATTCAAATCTTAAAAATTGGGTCACCATGGGAAAAACGTTGGGAAGGTCTGCTTCATAGTGAAGAAAGGATAAATTCATCAGGATCTAATTGGGGAGGGAGTGGGTGGGGGGATGATGGGTGTCAGAGTAGTGGGGCATGGGAGGATGGGTGGGCTGGGTTTGGAGGGGCGGGCTGTGGGGAATGGGAGTGGGGGTAGGATTGTGGACTGGGGTTTGGAAATGGTGATGGGTCAGGGGTGGGGTCTGATCCAGAAAAGTAAAAGACACCATAGACCCCTCTATCGTTAGAGAGAAGTGACTGGTGGAGAGTTATATAAGCTTCACCACACTTTATGCCTCAACCAAGGGGTGAGTTTGAGAAGCCAGAGCTTTCACAGTGACTTCAGCTAATACTGGAATTGAACGTGCACGATTGGCATTAATCAACATCATAAAGCAACGATCCAACCAACAAAACTAGCCACCCTAAAGGATCTGCCATCATTGCAACGAGAAGCTGACTGAACTCATTGAAACTATCAAGGTCACTGAAGGCATCTTCAAAGGACATGTTTTATCACTGCACTGCCCACTTTACACTTTGCACAGTACCCTCATTAGCAGTACTTAGCACTCAAGACTCAGGCCAAACATTCAGAGATTTCATTTGAGCCTCATACATCCTTCATTGATGCCAATTGCATTTATACCCAGTTCCAGCTTCTAGCTCATTTTGGCTAATTAGCAATGACATATCATGCAATAAACTATGATGTAATCACTGAGTTTTCTGCCTCCTCCTTGCAGGTCAAGATGATTCATAACATGAGCAGAGCAGAACCAGTGAAGGACAAGAATGACTACATCTCCCAAGTTCCATAGAAATGTTATCTATGCCATGAGACCAGTTGTGCTAGGGCAGTAGTATAGGACATCACAACACACCCATGAGGATGAATGTTTCTGCTTTATGCTCTTTCTCACCACTTCATTGTACTACCATAGATGGTGCAATAGCAGAAGTTAGTCTAAATCACAGTGCAGTACTGTTTGAGATGCTGTAGTGAGCTGTTGGATCTAATGGAAAGGAGTGTGGTTGCATTTTCACAGAGAGGTAGAGTTTTTGACGACCTGTCCACAGAAAGGGCTGTAGTTGCTATGCCTATAAGTCTGCAAAATAACAGGGAGATGAAGCGAAGCTGTCGAGACATAAAGTTCTATGTGATGACTTCTGCCATGTGGGAGCCAAACATTTCCATGTTCTTTGACAGCAGTTGGGCAGTCTTGCAGCCCAACCAAGGCACCCACATCCTCATTAGTGTTCTCCTGTATGCCACCTATCAAAGTCCTCTTCTGAATCCTCTTTAGCAGAACTCATCTGTAACATCACCCTCCAGGGATCACACAATTGAATAAGTCACCTTACTTGCAAGTTAGTGTATAACCTTTAAATAACACCAGTTGTGATCCCCTTCTGCAGCAGTGGACCTGCAAAATCTAAGTTATGTGATATGTGTTCAGATTTTGTATGGCTGTTTCCTTCAAGACCATATGATGTAGGAGCAGAAATAAGTCATTTTGCCCATAGAGTGTGCTCTATCATTCAATGAGATCATGGTTGACTTAATAATACTCAACTACACTTTCCTACCTTTGCCCCATAACCCTTGATTCCCTTATTGATCACAAATCTGTCTACCTCAACCTTGAATACATTTAACGACCCAGCTTCAATAGCCGTCTGTGGTAAAGAATTACACAGGTTGACTAAATTCTAAATGAAATTTCTCATAATCTCTGTCTTAAATAGAAGACACCTTACTCTTTGATTATGGCATCTGGTCCTAGATTCTGTCATTAGGGGTAACAACCTCTCTGCATCTACCTTGTTAAGTCTCCTAAGATTCTTATACGTTTCAATAAGGTCTCTTCCCATTCTTCTAAACTCCAGTGAATACAGGTCCAACCCATTAACTTCACTCCGTAAGAAATCCCTCATATTTGGAGTCCACGCAATGTACCTTCTCTGGACTGCCTCTAATGCAAGTGTATCTTTCCTTAGATAAGGGAACCAGAACTGTTCACAGTATTCCAACTGTGGTCTGATGAGTGCCTTTTATAGTTTTAGCAAGACCTTTCCATTTTTATACTCCATTCCCTTTGAAATAAAGGCCAACATTCTATTTACCTTGCCTATTATCTACAGGACTTGGATGCTAGCATTTTGTGATTCATTCTGAGGAGCCTATATTCAATCTGGCCTGTCTTTTCCTTTTTATATATTAGATGGAGCTCTTACTGCCCATTTTTACAGTACTTGCTGGTTTGGCCTTGTTGTTTATTCTCCCCCTCTTTCTTTTTGGCCATTTTTTGTTGGCTTTTTAAAACTTCCTCAATTCTTTGGTTTACTACTAATCTTTGCAATATTGTATATGTATTCTTTCAATTTGATACCATCCTTAACTTCTTTGGCTAACCATAGTCGAATTACCCACTTCTTAGAAACCTTCTTACTGGGATATATCTTTGCTGTGAGTCATAAAGTATTTACCTAAACATCTGACATTGTT